AAATTAAATTCATATTGTTTCGCTGCTATGTGAATGGTCCTGCTAAAGAAAATGATCAAATGTCACCTTCATTGTAAATTGCATGATCACACCGGTCGAAACCTGGACGCTTTGTCAAAAATGTTTAAGATTTAACTAATCAGTAAAAATTTATGTATAAAGTGTGTCAATCAATCTAAAATGAATCGAATATTACTATCAACTCACTGATGTTCAAATAGTTAAATCTTACTTTTCACTGATCAGATTTGAAGATTAGAAGGTCAAAATAATGTCACCATTTTTCTAAATTTTTAGAACTAGAGCACATGCTGAAAATGAACACATCAATTCCGCCGTTCTATGTATTTAACTAACTATGCTGTAATATCTAGTTTCATATTCGCATAGTTATCGCAAATTGGTGAAAGCAAAGCAAACCGCTTGCAAAAATCGACTACCATGGCTGAATCTACCGTAGCATAACTAAGTGTCGCTTCCTACAAACAGCACATAGCCCCAGGTTATACGCTCGTAGGAATAACGCCAATGACGTAGAAACCTACAATTAAATTTTGTCGTTCCAGCTGTTATTATGTGTTACATCAAGCAGTAGTCATAATGAAATCCATTATATATGAAGAATTTGGCGTTTAAACAGAAGCTAAATCTTCAAGCTATCCCTTAGTTGACCTTTGGGCCTTCAACCGCTGCCATCCATCAAATTTCTACCATTGAATACAAAGCCTGTCGAATGCTTAAACTATCGTGACCCTGAGATTTTACTACAGATTTATACCCTAATTATAGGAAGTAAAGTTCACTGTTTAAGAAACGGTGCCTTTGAAAATATAGCAAAGCGGAAATATTTGAGAAAAATCAGCCGAATTGTACTTACTGTACTTTATCCGCTCCATTGATTCGCAAAAGGCAACCTACAGACTGCAGTGCATCGGCCGCTGTCAGACCGTTTGCATTGTATGGCAGAACACAGTCACAGCACCAGCTGCACTCGAAACTGAACCTACATGGCTGCTTGTACTTATATCGTTAACATTTCATGTCATATCTGGTCGTGGTTATTCTCAGAGGCCATTTTTGGGTGATATACGATGTTTAATAAATGGCCAGCTGCAGGTTTTGATTTGCGTCCGTTGATGGCAGCCACTGGCGTCCATAATTACTTGGAAATGACCAAGCAAACAAGACGACAAAATTCGAAGCCCGATTTGCCACCTGGCAGTACGTTCATCTTCCCCAAATGGGAAACTTTGTAGCTATAACAACTCCGCGCTTTTTGGTGCCATTGCATACTTTGCAGCGATCTTATTGGAAGCAGGGC